TTTCCTTTTACTTTCCTCTTGTCCCACTATCATGCTCATCCTTCATTTGGGTTTCAGTAATTCCTCTTGGTTAAATTGCCCTTGATCAAGCCCCACCAGGCTTCTGAGACCCTGCTCACCACTGATTTTTGTACCACAGTTTTTTGATCCATTCGTCTGTTGAGGGAAATTTGGGTTGTTCCCAACTCCTTGCAGTTATAAACTGTGCTGCGATGAACATTGAAGCACAGATGTCTGGCCGTGGTTCGTTTCTTGCCTTTGCTGGGTATATGCCCAGTAGGGGGATTGCTGGGTTGTATGATAGCTCAATCTCTATCTGTTTTAGATCTCGCTAAATTGATTTCCATAATGGCTGTACACACCTACAGGTCCACCAGCAGTGCATGAGAGTCCCTATCTCCCCACAGCCCCTATCTCCCCACAGTAACACTTGTTACTTTCTGATTTTTTGTATTGGGTTATCTTTGAGGGTGTTAGGTGGTATCTCATAGTTGTTTTAATTTGCGTTTCTCTTATGGCTAATGATTGGGAACATTTTCTCATATGTTTATTGGTCATTTGGATTTCTACCCCTGTGAAACTTCTGTTCAGGTCCTTTGCCCAACAGTGGCTTTTAAAAATAGGGCTTTCATTGTCTTTCCCAAGATCTCCCTATTAAAATGCTTGCCTATGTTGGTGTTTGTATGTTTGATTGTTCCATTCTTTTCAACACTACCTTGGGATAGAAAGGATGCCACAATATTGTCCAATTAAATCAAGATTCCTTTACAAGATTTTAAGACTAATTTTTGAGGTTTGTTGTGACCCAAGAGGATTCTTCTTAGCTATCTCTTTCACTATCTCTTTATTGTTCTTTTTCTGGCAAATTAGATACATTAGGATTTCAGTTATGGCTCTCTTGAAGCTACCACACCTCACTTAATTATTTACCATCAAATCTTTCATTTAAGTGCAGTGTACATTAGATGGAGATATCCCACGTTTGGGTCAAAATAAACCAGTTCCTCTGAATCTAGTTGTCTATTCTTAAGACTTGCCTTGTCCTCTGGTAAAAATCTTTGAGTGATAATTCCTTAGTGGAGTATGGTAGCTCTGGTTCTTTT